CCATCTCTGTTGTACGGTTTGTGCCAATTCGACAGCTAATCTTACGTAGGACTTTTGCAAACAGCGCTCCTCCAATCTACGTTCGATATAGCGACGCCAAAATGCTTTCTGTAACCACTGTACCCACGTGGGTTTGCACATCTCCACAAGGTGCAACATAAGGTGGACTATGTTGCTTCTTCTCCTATATCAGCTTCCCCTCAATTTAGACATATCGCATTGTCATCAGATTGGCCCGGGCTCCAACTTTTGTCACCACTGCAAGTTACCCGGATTAGTCGTTGGAAGAAGGAAAGAACGAGGCCTGGTTATGAAATTAAGGACAAACTTGACACAAGAGCCATGAAGATCGAGGCTCTTTCGAGCCCAGGTCCGGAGCGCAAGTGGCTGGTGGCAGATTCTGGAGTGACACGGCTGCCCTCCACCACATTATCTAGTGCCATCCGGAGCCTTTATGGTGAACACCATGGGCACTAATTCCTTAAAATGCCTGTCATAGGCATCGTGACCTCTCGATCGTCTCCGCTTTTTCCTATAGCCGTGTTCATATATCCGTAGGTCCGATAATTTTCTGGGAGATCGACGTTCGGAAGTCTGGTTAAAGCACATGTGCTATGCACACGTTACTCAGTACCTTTATGCAGCTTCCGTATTCCTCTTGATTCGTCACATCCAGCGATAACAATGTGTACATGCAGTATTGAGTCTGACTGCCTTGCTGGTTCCTAGTCAGTGAATTTGGAACGCTAAGGAACGCTCCCTCTACTCACAGGTCAAGCTGTCTCCGTGGATGTAGTTAAGACCCCGTCTTTCGGTTACGATAATGCTAAGATACCAGGGATCGCCAAATGCTGAGCTCGGGTCTAAACGAAATGTACCCGTCGAGTTGAATGGTAGGTCGCTGTTGACGATGGTACTGACAGGAGGGGAATAGCCCAGTACTGAAGAGTTGTTTAAGACTTGTGCGTAGCATTTGTTGGAAATGAATAGGTTTATCGCGGCTATCAGAACAATCTTGGTGTTGGTCGTCAACATGGCTAGGTAGGATTGGAAAAGTTTTCGAAAGTTCGAAGCCCTGAAAGTGATCTTGCCCAGACCCACGAAATTCTTAGCCTCATCATATATATTAGCTTTACGATACACATACTATGTCTTCACAGGTCACGAAGCAGCAAAGGCATCATGGCATGCACGACGACAGATACGCGGCTCATGTCGGTGCGTTCCGCCAATAGACCACCAACAGAACGCGATATCTGGGCTACACATTGTCTTGTTTGCGAAGATATGAGAGAAATCGAAGGTCGTATTGCTTCATCAAGGCGGACAATCGGCTAGTCCAGCTACGCTCCGCCTTGTCTATAGGATAAGGTGTGCCATTGGCTACACCACAATCGTATGCCTCAGATCACCATTTCATCACTTTACAGTGGGTAGTAAGAAGCTTCATGGGTGGATAAATGTATCCAGGATGTACTGATTGCAGAGCTTGGCGGCTACATAGACATGTGGAAGCGCTTCCTTTCGAGGCTTTGAAGGTTGTACTGGACACATGCTCATTCTCACAAGCTTCTCACGTATCAGAACGTATGGAAAAAAGTAAGAAGTGTAGTTTTAGGTGGCATTGATTTATACAATACATTTCCCTTGATCGGTGTAGCCATGGCGATTCGGTAACAACCGCGGTAGTCGTTCCTGCTACGATTCCCTTTTCCCAAATTGCTTCAGCAGCAACTAAGCATACGAAGCAGTCGCGTATGGACTACGACTACCAGTGTACAGGGCAAGTGGTTACATGTCGTACTAGTGGGGCCTCTAGCGTGGGTTTGTTTTGTATGTATACATTGTACGGGTACATAGGATGACTCTAATCTGGTTCTGCATCAGATAAGCTGTAGATGGCAAATAAGTACTTACGTAGGTACTACTACTCAAGATCAATGATACAGAACCTTGACTCTCACTCTCATTCAGTAATTTCATCACCTTGTCTCTATCTCGTTAAAACATGTCTTTTTTCGCCTCTCTTTGCACGTGTTCCACTCTGTATTTCAGGTTACTTATATCCAGGATGGAAAGGAATGGTGACGCAAGTGACCATTAACCGCTAATATCGGCAAGCCGCTGATTCCGGGTCCTCCGAATAACAAATTTCGCTGTCACGCGTGGGAACCGATGCTTCCGCTCGGTCGCGAGACGTACTAATGTTTGCTTATTCGTTCTCATGAAGACGATCACGATGACGCGCGGATCTTTCTAGAAATACACCCACTGTAGGTGACGTTGGCAAAGACTCACTAAGTTGTAGAGTGCCTTGATCTTCTTTAATAGAAGAAAAGTAAAGTAACCCAGGGTTTCCCAAAGGTTGCTGAAGACGCCCACTTCACGACAACCGAGGGTCCAAATATTGACCCGAGGACACGTGACGCGCGTATCAGGGAGCGTCCGGAGGCTTCGGCGCTGATTCCTCCGTGCAAGACATCGGCAGTTGCAGTTATGACATTCGAATACAACTGCCGATGCTTCCCAGGTCCACACAACGTCGCTATCGTCTCACACAAGGTTTAGCTGTTGAAGTGACGATAGTCGGCAGTTCCAGAATAGCACAGAGCACATTGGCGATGCTGCGCCATCTCGTACGAAAAGTGATGTAAGGGAGTATGGGAATGATTCCAGCACCGTGTCGTCTGGTGCAGCAGGGAGAAGTTGGCCAATAGCATGGAGAGGGATAGATTGAGTGCATCGCGATAACCGAGTTCTGAGGCGAATGGGTAGCTTTTAACGATGGTTGCTCTCTGTGTTGACGAGGTTTACCCCGCGAAAGCGCCCCGGAGCTACCGTCCCCACGCGATCCGTCCAAGCTGCTCCAGTCCAGCCACGGACCCACCCTCATCATATCACGCCTCAACTGTCAACTGCCGACCAACACAATCTTGCGCAAGCACCCAGACGCGTTACCATGGCCACTCCGAGACCGAGACGGCTGCGTGACAGTGCGGGAAGGGGACGGCACAGGCCCGACTGCTGGCTCCCATTTATATGAGCTCTCGCCCCAGACCGTGTCAGATATGAATTTCGCAGCTTACTTTGCTTCGAATCTACTGTTACCTGGGTCCCGGAACGCATCTCCCGCTACAAGTTAGATCGGGTTACACAACATGCTGGCCAACGAGCTCCTTCCGCTGCTTGTGCGGTACTGGCCGCTTGTACTGGCAACAACTACCATTGCATATCTACTTAACAACAAGTACTGGAAAGGACTGAACAAGTACCCAGGACATTGGGCGGCTGGATATTCCAACTGGTGGCGGTTATGGGATGTGTCAAAGAAGAACCATCAATGGACCAACCTCGCGTTGCATCGCAAACATGGCGACATTGTCAGGTTAGGCCCAAACGTTCTGTCGTTTGCGGATCCAAAGGCTATCAAAGCCATCTATGGGCTTAACAAGGGCGTCTACAAGGTATGTAAATGCAGATAGGTCTGTTGGATGATAGCTAACTCTTCCAGTCTGACTTTTACCCTGTCCAGGGCGCCGTGTCCAAGGGAGCGCCGCTCCTCTCTCTCTTCTCCACCACCGACGAAGACTTTCACGCAAAGTACCGCCGATGCGTCAACAATGCCTTCGCCATGAGCTCGCTCGTCAACTACGAGCCTCTCGTTAGCTCCACACTCACATACTGGCTCGACAAAACCGAGGATATGTTTGCCAAGACTGGGCAGAGCTGCAACTTCAGTCAATGGTTGCAATTCTTCGCCTTCGACGTCATCGGTGAGTTGACATGGAGCAAGCGACTGGGTTTTGTCGAAGGAAACAAGGACGTAGACAACATTATCGGCTTCTTGGGCAAGTTTTTCGACTACGTTGCACCGGTAGGTCCTCACAAGCAGAAGCCATCATGGTCATTTCCATACTCACATCTCTTTAGGTCGGTCAAATTCCCATCCTCGACCGTCTTCTATGGAAGAACCCAATCAGCCTCTTTGCCCAGCGCATTGGTCTAGATAAGCGTGTTCATCCTGTCACCCTCTTCGCCCTGAACCGCTCCAGTGAGCGCGCTACCCAAGTCGAAAAGATCAAGCGCTTCGGTCTTTCCGACGACGAAAAGGCCAACCCTCATGGTATCGACCTCCTCTCCAAGTTCGCCCAAGCAAGCCATGATCACGAGTTTATGGACGACAACCGCATCCTATCAACCTGCACATCTATGGTCTTTGCCGGTTCGGAAACGACAGCCATCTCGCTTTCAGCTGTCTTCTATTTCCTTGTCAAGCACCCACGTGTATATCTGAAGCTCATGCAGGAGCTCGACACCGCTGTAGCAGACGGAACTATCGAATCTCGTTCCGACAAGACAGTCTCTTGGCCCGAAGCCCAGAAGCTTACCTATCTTGACGCTGTCGTCCAAGAATCCTTCCGACTTCACCCTGCACCTGGTCTCATCCTTGAGCGCGTCGTGCCTAAACAGGGCATGCAAATCTGCGGCGAATTCATCCCTGGTGGCACGATTGTCGGCTGTAACCCCTGGGTCGTACAACGTCGACCCGAGGTTTTTGGTGTAGACGTTAATACATTCCGGCCCGAGCGCTGGATTGAGGCTAGCCCGGACAAACTCAAGGAAATGAAGGGAACCATGTTGCAGTTTGGCGCTGGGGCTAGAACGTGTATCGGAAAGAACATCAGCCTCTTGGAAATCTACAAGCTGGTGCCAAGCTTCCTACGTAGATTCGAGATTGAGCTTGAACATCCCGGTGCTGAGTGGAAGACACATAACGCGTGGTTTGTCACGCAGAAGAACTTCAACACGGTATTTAGGCCAAGAAGAGGGTCACCGTGAGTAGCATAAGTTGTTGTTTTTACAGCGTTCTAGCGTAATGAGCATATGTTTTTGCATCTACTACCAACCAAGTGTCGTGATTAGCGAAGTATAGCCTGAAAGTGTTCGCCTGATTCATACAAGGGCTCTACCCCTTAGGATCGTCTTAAGAGTCGCTACGTCTACTCCGCCCGCTTCTTCTTCATACTTACCTGTCGCTTGCCCATCACATCTCTGCCCTCCTCTATACTCAACAAAGCTTCGCGCTTCTTCTCAGTTACAGGCTTGAGGGCATCTCGGACGACTCTGCCTTCAACGCTAACACCTTCCTCCTCAAACTCATCCATCTTCTTTCCCACACGCGACTCAATCGCCAGTACAAGCTCCACATCCCTCTGCCCAATCAAAGTGATACTCGTACCAACCCTCCCAGCACGCGCCGTACGACCGACACGATGGATGTAATCATCCGGATCACGGGGCACATCGAAGTTGATAACAAGCGCCACCTCTGGAATATCCAAACCACGGGCCGCAACATCAGTAGCAACGAGCATCCTAGCAGCCTGCGCACGGAACCTAGCGAGGTTACCCACACGATCGTTTTGCTTGAGACCAGAGTGCAGTGCAGTGACGCGGTGATCAAGGAGGCGCAGCATGTACTCCAGGAGCGTGGCTGTCTTCGTACGATTGCAGAATATAATAACACTCTTTTTGCTATTCTCTGGTGTATTCAACAAGACGTGAAGATAACATTCCTTGTGCGTAACTGGCGTTTGAAGGTACTTTTGCTGCAGTCTTGGTGGAATTGCTAAATCCTCGGTATCGACCTCGGAAACGAAGATTGGAAGACGGCCTGGAGCTCGAGGCTGGGATTTGAGTGCCAGGACCTCGGGCGTCACGGTGGCAGTAAATAGAAGGGTTTGCCGTGTTTCCTTGGGAGGTAGAGCGGATAAACAGGTCTCGAGATCGGGCAGCATGGAGCCTTTGCCTGGAGCGAGTAGACGATCGGCTTCATCAAAGACAACAAAGCGCACGCGACGGAGACCACAGATTGTGTCCTCGCCCGAGGTACGGATGTGCTCTGCTAGCCGGCCTGGTGTTGCAATGACGACGTGGGGTCGTGAGGCCAGAGCGATGGCTTGGGAGCGCTGGTCTGAGCCTCCGGTAATCAGAATGGGTTTCATCGATTGTGGCGCTGAAATTGCTTTCACTTGCTCGTAGATCTGGATCGCGAGCTCGCGGGTCGGTGTGACAATAACGGCGAAGATACCACTAGGATCCTCCGCCCATTTCTGCAGAATCGGTAACGAAAATGCTATAGTTTTACCTGTACCAGTTCTTGAGCCACCGATACAGTCTTTCCCCTTGAGAATTTCAGGAATACAGGAGGCTTGGATGCCAGTTGGGCGCTTGATCTCCATGCTTGCGAGCGACTTGACGAGCCATGGCGCTACATTGAGCGACGCGAAATCCAGTTTAGGATTGGTTTTCGGTGTGGTTCCAACAGATCCGGCGGATTTGGCATCGTTTGCCGACGCGTTTTGCTGCTTTGCTTTGATGCGCGAGATTGATGAGGCTGCGACTGGTAGTGGTTGGACAACTTCAGCTTCGGAAGCCGAGCTTACATCCTCGGTCGGCGACAGTCTCCTTCTCTTCCTAGCTCCGGATTGTGCCTCGAGAATTTCCTGGTCGGATGCACCAGAATCACTGTAATCGGAGGTCGCCATGATTGTGGTTGATGTTTCGCATGTATGTCGACGGCTCAAGTTCGAGTTGTCTCCGAAATTTTGTGCAGGGATTAATCGCGCTAGTCTTATCGATACGGCTACGGAAGCTTGTGCTTTCGGATTCGTACTGGGTCAAAACTTTGCGAGTTATATGGCCTAGATGTCTACAACGGGTGCGATCAATTGTTGGAGACGGAGCTATGCTTTGATGCTTTGCAGAGCTAACTGCCGACCTAGAGCCTATCTCACCCGCCCATCTCTTTTATACCTACAGCAACTCTCCCCACAAAGACAGCTCTTATCTAACCCAGCCCAATACTTGTCCCCATAATCTAATGTAATCTCCTTTCCTGCGTCTATCCCCTTACTGACCAATACCACCCTTTGTGTGTCCAGCCAGGTAAAAGTGGAGGATTGCGAGTTCGGCTTACAGCTATGATTGATGAAGCGCGTGAAATTTCCTGCTCTGCCTTGCCAGATCTGGTAATTAGCCAAGGGTGTTGAACTGTCCAACACGTCAAGATGTCTGACTCCGTTTGTTATCAATCCGACGAGCTCGCCGACGGCCGTTCCACGATCGAACGACGTCAACGCTACGAGGCCATTATTTCTGCCGTCCGGCGTCCTGACAATTTGAACGGGTGGTGGCTTTCGCTTTACACAACCAAAAAGGGTTGGAAAGCAGAAACACGAGTTGTCCTGTGGGTTGTCGGATTGTGGCTCGTTGCACAAAGCACAGATGTACACTCCACCTGGTCTAGCGACAGCGTTCGATTGTGGCGTCCATCGTGGGTCTTCGCATCCCCAGACCGATTCATCAATGATTGACTCGTCGATGTGTTCAAAAGCAAAATATGGATCGTGAAGCTGATATGTTTGGCGCAAGGGTACGGGATCCGATCCGTCCTCAAAAACAACCCAATCGTGCGGGTGTCCAGGGTATTCGAGGGTTTGCGATTCGCCCACGATTGACAACAACTGGCGCCAGTGGGGATGTAGGGTATCGGCTGCGACTTCGAGACGTTTTCGCAGGTTCCGTAGCCGGCGCATCGCATCTTTATCAAAGCCTACTCGGTACTTACAGAATCGGTAAATGCCCATGCCAGCGAAGACAAGTGCAGCCCAACCCGCTGCGTCTTTTACTTCCTTGTAACCACGCCAGATGGCCATTTTATTGCGCAATTCCTTTCTGTTATCGTATGGCGGTTAGCGAATGCGATGTGTCATGCGCGATGGCAAATATTGGGACTTACTCAGACCAGTCGAAGTCCTGGCACGCTTCCATGAACACAGCTTTCCTGTGCTTTGTCGTAGACAGGTCAGGCCTCGATTGGCTCCGATATTGTACCTGCTCCTCAAAGAGCTCGACCCAGCGAGCTTGTACAATCATTTCTATTGACCGGCACACACGACTCGCTTGTGTGACCTTGCGACAGAAAACGTTCATCTGACTGAAGGATTCGGATTTCGTGTTCGAAGTGGTAATGGCTGCTGATGGCTCTTCCGTTTGCGTTTGTCGAACCACACCCATGGAGGATCCATTGGGCGATACCTGGAACTGTTCGAATATAGCTTTCGGGTCGAGGTTGAGTGTACTGTGTACTTGCTCCCAGATTCCGATGATAAGCTTGTCTAGAGTGGAAGGCTGGAAGACAAACTTATCAGACGCTACCTGCGAATGGTCAGCCAAAGACCTCTGAGATACTTTCTGGTGCTGGTATGGCCTAGAGATACGAGCTTCTTCGGACGTGAAATGCTAGTAGAGGCATGCAACAACAACCCAATGATTCTTCGATGAGATTCCAGCGGTTGGCGGGAAATACGATGTCGCCTGGCGAAGTCGACGTACCTTTTTCCGCTTGGGAAAGCTTCGGCTATCCACCTGCATTTGGCGTTGGTGCTCGGTCAAATCTTCTTGAAAAGAGGACTGGTTCTGCGACACCCTCAGACCGCCAGTACCTTTTCTACGGGTATCGCGGGAGTGTTGTTCCGATGGGCACGGGTCGTCCCGGGGATTAGACTCGTCCATCGACGATGACTCCTCATAGTCGTTAGAATCTACCGGCATTGGACTTTGTGTGGGGGCCGGCGTTCTCATACTCGCCAGATCGACGGTTCTCTACGGACATGTAAGCATACGCTACTGCACACGAGCAGTTTAGGTGTGGTGGGAGCATAAACGTACCGATGCGACCCTCTCGGACTGCGCTCTTGTTGCATGGTTCGCATCGGCCTCTTCGAGGAAAGCTTCCACGCGAAGGATGGGATGGTCAAGGTTGTCGAGCTGTGGCCACGCGATATTGATGTTCAATCTGGCAAGATGGTCCTGGATGGCCCGACCGATGCATTCGGAAAGCCCATCGATATCCTGGAGGCCGTTCATCTTAAGGAGTGCCTCGACAGTACCTCGCTAAATTGATTAGATCTGCGGACTTGACACCGGACGCTAAGAAGCTTGAGCAGTCCGCGAGCAGATGTGTGATATAACAAGCTCTACCACGATGTCCACTAGGAAAATTACTGCGGAGGTAGCTCCGTATAATGAAAACCACTCAGGATGCGAAACAAGATTCGCTATGGGCGTGAGGTAACAAGACGTCTGTGAGGTAAGAGAAAGAGGCGCATCCGTCCAAATGTCGGAGCTTTCATGGACTGAACAAGCTGTCCGAAGTATATCCGGGTCGAAAGTCGCAGTGTCGCAACACTGTACACGGCTTCTATATGCCGCGATGGTGGAACGCGGAACCGTGACGATATTGATGGAAATTCTGCTCAAGCAGCAGATGAAGCCGGAGTTTGATTAGCAACGCTCTTAACCAGGTGCGGTATGGTGCTTGGCTTCAGCCATACACTCGGCGACGAATGCGCGTCATTTTGGCGTGCAAACAATATCTCAACCAATCAGAAGAATTGCTGCGGCTGCACGTAGCCACTCGAACGTTGGTTGCGGTCGCAAAGTCGGTTCGTGGTAGGCACATTGCTCTAGGTTATCGAAGATGCTGCTCGATGATGCCTGGGCAGTCAGAAAAAAGCCGCAGGGCTGATGGTGGTCCCAGCATGGCACGGGAACTAGCCGTCACACTAACTACATGCTCCATGCTCTCCATTCCGGCAGACGTCACCGAACAACCAAACATTGCCTCAACAGAAGACGTGACTATCGCGACAGAACAACAAAGCATTGTAGAAAGTGCAGAGGCGGTCTCATCAGATGAGCTTTCGCAATTATCTGTACATCTGTATCTACGATGGCGAAGGTTGCTATCGAACGACTCAATGCGCAAGCAGTTCGTCTCTCAACGGCGAAAACCCGTCTCCACAAATGCCAAGCGATGCTATGGCATTGTGTATCGTAGTGCGCCGGGTCTTATAATTGGACTTGCCTCCGCGTATATAGACTGGGCGGTCAGGGTCTGAATCAAGCTATTTACATATCGCTTGTACCGATTGGTACCCTTCAACTTCAATTTGTGCGGCTTCGCATCTCTTACACATCTGTCGTTTTATTAGTGCAACCCCCCACCCTCATCATAATGGAGTCGTCAGACGCCAAAGATTCGAGTAACAAGGAGAGATTGGAAAGAACCGCGACACACGAATCATACACCTTCCAGGGCGCGAAAGGATGGCGGAGATGGCGCATTTTGCAACCCGGACGTGGCATGTATCACGATGTCAAACGCAGATTACCATACTACTGGAGTGATATCACCGATGCACTTACCTATCGAGTCTTTGCTAGTACAGTTCGTATGTACTTCGTCAAGTAAGTGTACTCAGTGAAATGCTCAAGACATGTACTTACAGATCCAGTGTTCTACCTGCTATCGCTTTCACGCTCGACATGTACCGCCGAACTGGCGAGTTCTTCGGTATCAATGAAGCTCTCTTCGCCTCCGCTTTAGCAGCAATGGTCTTCAGCCTCTTCGCTTGCCAACCTCTCACCATTGTGGGCGTCACTGGTCTTATCGCCCTCTTCAACTACACCATCTTCGACATTATCACTCAGTATGATCCTCCCATCTATCCAGCCTTTACCGCATGGGTCGGTATCTGGGCTGCCATCTTCCACTGGATCGTATCCTTCGGCAACTTTAGTGACTACATGGCTTATGTTACCGACTTCTCAAGTGAGACATTTGGCATGTATGTCGGAATTATCTATTGCAGTACGTATCTAGCAACTAGCCAAACATAGTTACATAGCTGACACATCCATAGTCAAGGGTGTGGAAGAACTGGTTTACCTCTTCGAAGTTTCCGAATTCGATGGCGGCTACCTTTCCATCGTTATCGCCATCTGCTACTTTGCCTCCGTATACGGCCTCGAGAAGCTTGGAGGAAGTACATTGTTTGGTCCAGGCGTCCGTGGTATCCTCGCTGACTATTCCTTCGTCTTTCCAACTTTGTTCTGGGTCGGCTTCTCACACATCCCCGGACGTTTGGAGAATACTGGCCTGTACCGAGTCCCTATTACAGGCGCCTTTGAGCCGACGCAGGACAGAAATTGGGTGATTGACTTCTGGAATCTGGACGTCAAGTGGGTATTTGCAGCATTGCCATTTGGTTTCCTGATGATGCTGCTTTTCTACTACGACCACGTAAGTTTTGTACCCGTTCCAAAAATGATACATGCTAATCTACCACGATAGAATGTTTCATCTCTTACAGCACAAGCCCGTCAATATCCTCTAAAAAAGCCCGCTGGCTTCCACTGGGATTTCTTCCTTCTCGGCTGCACATGCTTTGTTGGCGGTGTTATTGGCCTCCCCCTTCCCAACGGTCTCGTACCGCAAGCACCTGTGCATACCGACTCTTTGACAGTTTACGAAACGAAACTTGAAGTCACCAAAACGGAGGATGGCGGAGAGATCCGTAAGCCGTTTATAGAGGCTACCGCCGTTGTTGAACAGCGTGTCAGTCACTTCTTGATGGGCATGGCTATTTGGGGTACTATGACCGGTCCTTTGCTCACGGTGTTACACACTATGCCTGCCGCCGTCTTCGCCGGTGTGTTCTTCGTTGTCGGTGTACGTACCTCTACCGCCACTCGTTCCTTCAACATGCTAACTCTTCTGCAGTGGGGTTCAATCGAATCTAACGGTATCGTCGCCAAGACCCTCTACCTCATGTCCGAAAAGCGTTTTATCCAACGCGATAACCCGCTAAATACCGTCTCCCGCAAGAAGATCGGACTTTTCATTGGCATCCAGATCTTTGGTGTCGCATGCACAGTTGCTATTTCACAAACTATCGCCGCTATCGGATTTCCCGTACTCATCACCGCGCTTATTCCGCTACGCACTTTCTTGATGCCAAGATGGTTCACAGCACACGAGCTAGATGTTCTAGATGCCCTAACGGCAGACAATCCCTCGGTGCTTGTCAGCTTCGGTGGAACGCCGAGTGGCATGAAGGCTGGTGGACCTATGGAAGGGGGTGCTGGCGGCCCTCGTGATGAGGAGGCACTCGCACACCCGCATCTTGCCCAGCGTCAACGCGCTGGAAGTATTCACCGAGATGAATAGTTGAATATGGGAACGGCCACGGTTTAGAAAAAAATAGTGATTGAGCGAGGAGATTTGAGGTGACGATTAAAGGTTTATTAGAGAAATATTCGCTTCATGTAGATAGGCTGCGTAGCCTTCAAAGATATTTAATGTATTACTATGTTGGAATTCAATCTTCCTAGCACCACTTCAAACTCCGGCGGTTACTTAGAGACATATTAATTGCGCTCTTTTTTCTTCCTTGCTGCAGGGGTTTTCTGCGCCTCACTCACCCTTCCCGCCCTCTACTCCTTGTATGTCTCCGTTCTAACAACCCACATCCCCATTCACACCCGGCATCAACAGCGCGCTCAACATCCCTCATATCCGGCATCGAAACTGAGGGTATAATCTTCAAGACTTTGTCATGTATTGCCGGTACATCAGACCCCTCAAAAACTCGATTCACTCTTCCAGAAACCTCGTCAGATGCTTCTTCGACTAACGCACGGAGTTTATTACACAGCGCTTTGTAATCAACGGCCGTAGGGTGCGTCAACGCATGAAGTGACTCATTACGCCATGTACCGTTTGGTGACGAAGGGAACAGATGGGCATGGGATGGGAAAGTCTCTGTGTCAAATTCGGATAGCGATGTGTGCTCGGGGTCAGAGCGAGATAATTCTGCGGATGCAGGAGAAAAGCCGTCAAGACAGGGAATGTAGGAATGGTCTGCTGTCAGCGCTGAGGTATCCTCATTGACGACCTCCCATGAAACAGACTCTTCTTCTGGTGGTGGAGAATGGGCGGCGGACGCAGAAGGAACAGAAGCTGGGGAGGATAGTGGTGATAGCTTTGCGGTGGGAACAAGCTTCCAGGATACCAAACTGTGAACTGTTGGACGATTGGATGCCTCTGAAGAAGTGGAACGCGCCCGGGAATGACACAAAGCGGTAGCTGGTCGCGGCGGTAGCGTGGGTGCATTACGACATTGCGATGTCGACGCAAAAGTCGACAAAGGCCTAGAAAAGAACAAAATTTGTGCGATCTTTATACAATTTTCAAGATTTGTTTCGCCGAATCTGGCGTGATTGGCCTATCGTTCCGTTTGCGCGTGTCGAGTGCTCTTATTGGGAAAGCGAGTTGAAATTTGCTAAACGGTTTGTTTTACGCGCTGATTGCGTATAACGAGATAAAGAGCATAGAATGGAACCAAGCGTTCAAAGCTTGTGCGCGACAATGTGCGGAAGGAGTCGGCAGTTGTTGTAAAGCCATCATGTCCTACCTAAGTAGCTTGCAATATAGTGAATGACGGAACGTCGGTGAAAAACTGTGAAGTGAAAAACCCGCCGCATCAGGATATTTGAAGAGTCAATTCTTTGCCTATCGGCAGATTCTTTCCAAATTAGTGACCTATAGAAGATCATCACTCATTCCTTTCTCGCCTTGCAAGACGGAAGTGAAATGCTGCCCGCCGTGCAAAGCAAAGCTTATATTCGCATGGTCTTGATGGCTGTTTACGCCTGGATGAGAAACTGTTTCCTAAATGTTATGTTGTCGTTCGTACATCGTGCTCAGTCGCCATGGTTTACTGTCTTGGCTCTTGAAAGAAGATGAGTGTTCAGATCTGAGTGCAGTGGATCACATCTAGACCGTTGGGAGCAAACAAACATGTTTATAGGTAAGGCAGGTTATTTTTTATGCATTCTCCATTCGAGAATTGGAGCCGCTTCAGACATCACCAAATATAATTCCAAATTCGATGGGGATCTCCACCGCCTAGCTGGTACCACTAAAGACTAATGACGAACGAAGTGTTCACAAGCCATATATAGGCCGGTGCAAATGCTGAGCAGGATATTTGCTGTATTGTGTAGACATCGCGACTGACAATAAGAAAGAAACTGAGCGTATATGACAATGCATCATCCTTACCAGGTCGGCGAAGAGGTAGAAGCTATAGACAAAGCATCGACTATACTAGAAATCTCCATCGGGTTTGGTCACGAGCTTCACTTGAAGTCATTGTACAGTTAGGGCAACAAAGAAAACCAAAGAGTAGGTATTAGGCAGAGGAGCACGTCTTCAAATACGTCCAAATTGCTCGACTTGCAACCGAGGTATGATACCATGGATGACATAGGCATCTCCCAGTATCAAGGTTCGCTCAATTCTGCTTTGTATGTCCGACGGTCAGAGTTTGTCGTGTTCCAACATGAGCTGGGTGAAGCTGTCAGTATTGAATGTTATGACTGTCGGACCGAAAACTCTAACACACGGTGTCGCGCCGTTGCACCGAAGTTATATTGAATCTCCATGCATCCATATGTCAAGGAGATATTCTCCACATATTTGCACACGTCTAGGGTATGTAACAAGTCAACGAGTCGACCAAGAAGGACAAATAGTGGCTTTGACCTTGACGCTTACAATGCAACCGATATCACCCAGACGTGTCAAGTTCGTTGTACAGAGCGATATCGTGATCAGTTTCGATACGACTGGTACGCGTTCATTTCCAGCGATACATGGGTGCCGAAGCTAACCTCGTACGATACACTTAGCCGCATACTATAACGAGCGAAACTTGCTGCAAGTGTCCAAAAGCGAACATTATGTAACAATAGTCCAACCGCGGATGTAAGGGACAAGATACCGCGTAAAGCCGTATCAAACGGCTGAAGGAAGCATGGCGCCATTCTAACTCAGGCAACAAGAGCGACGTATATAATGTGGCGCGAACGGATCTGGCGGCGAGTGGGGATGACTGCGATGAAACCTGGCTGATTGAAAGATGTTGTTGCTTCTTTTTGACGTGTGGGCGCGCTGTGGACAAAGCAACGTGTTGGGTACTAATATCCCTGCCAATATCCTCATCCAAAAGCACAACCCTTCTGACGACTTGTCACGCTTTTCAGTGACATCATTCACGCCTCTGACGCTTTCCCCGCTGTCCTAAATGTCGACGAAACTGAGATTGAAATAGTGTTGTGTTCTTTGGGGTACCTCCCCACCCGTTGGAGTGCTGATGTGTAGATAAAGTTCCGCAGAATTTGCTACTCATGACAAACCACTCAAACGAAGTCCTTGGGTAGATCTCGCAATTTAGGTTTGACCTCCGTACGTGTCTTTACTATCCCAATATTCATGATGTGGTTGCTGAAATTAGGTACTCTAGATTCGTGCAAGGTAGTCGCGTTTGTTTGATAGAGGTAAGACACCTAGACGACAACTTTGCCACCTGTAGACTCGACGACGGAGTTCACATCGTCTTTGAGCTCTGGTATCGCGCTTGAGACGTGCAGGGCGAGCTGTTCTTGCAGGGCGCGGTAAGCGTCAACGCGACCGTACAACATCTGGTTCATTCGCTGCACGGTCTCAACAAATTCGCGAGTGAAGATGTCCGGGTTCCTAGAGTTTTCTACATAGGACATGACCTCTGGAGGGATGTTGATGTTCACCGAAGGTGCCGTTCTTGCCAATTTTACCAGATTTTGAATAAGCGACTGGCTATCATGTCATTAGCCCACCATACAACGCATGTTCCTGAGCTATTGCGTACATTTCTCGCTTCATGGCTTCCTGTGTCTTGCTTCCATGGTGGTCGTAAGCTTGCACGATGAGGTTGTATAGATTTTGTACGATGTCTTTCAGTTGCGCCTCCACATCGATTATCGCCACTACCAAAACGATTAGCAGGAGCAGAAACAACGGCTACCCACATACCGTCGGGACTTAGTGCTGCCATTTGGATGTTTGAAGTGAGCGGCGCTGTGAGGTTTGCTAGTCGGAGGGCGGGTGTTGTGCAACGCGTGTGACAAAGAACAGACGCGCCAAGGCTCGGCTAAACACGGAAACTCTGGTTGGCTTTGTGTCGTCATCGCTCACTTTACCCAGTATCTAACTCAACGACGACCTTCATCGAGACCGCGTCGCAGCGCGCTATCACGTGTCGCAAATCTTACTCACTGAATGCGACCATGAGCATTACCTTGCGATGACGGAGAGCATGAGCCGGGATCCTGACGTCCCTCTTCCGCAGCCACCAAGCTCTCAAACCCCAATATCGTCTATACCAGGAGCCACTGGGAGCACTTTGCCAAACCATACTCGTGCTACGACTCGCCCAACAGAAACTCAAAAGACTCAAGTGGATACTGCTTCGGACAAAGCAACCGCAGCATTCATTCGGCGTACTCTCTGTTCCCACAATGTACTACTTGGAAACGGCGAGAAAGCACGCAGTACACCGCGCCCAATCGGAGACGTGCTACCACCTCTGACAAGCTCAAATGAGGTCGATCTTCAGTTATACGGTATTATTTCTGTGATCATCAAGGAGTTCGTACAGACGTGGTACTCGAAGATAACTCCAGATCAAGTATTTGTCAACGAAGTGATTCAAATTATCGCTCACTGTACCCGTGGTCTGGAACAACGCCTCAGAAAAGTCGACCTGGAATCACTGTTACTAGACGAGATCCCTGAGCTGCTTGAAGCTCATCTGACATGTAGGTAGTTCCGACCCTGGACTGTCGCATGAACTTAGTCTAATTGTGCCCTGTCAGCTTTCCGAATAGCGAAGAATCAAGCCGCCTCGTCAAATTCACTGGTATCAGATCCTCGTCTGATCTATCATACGCTCCACCCACACCCTGCACTTTCTCCTGTTCCGACCGATGATGCACCAGCAACAGTCCTCGAGCAGCGCGAAAGCGAGTCGGCGTGGCGCCAACTCCTCATCCACGGAGTGTTGGCTTTATTGCTACCGACAGAAGACTTGAAGAATGGGTGTCTACGCGCCCTGGTGGCCGAAATTTTCGCCGAGATGATCCTCGGAAACGGCATTAGCGGCAAAGCCTGCGAGGGATGGGTATTATGGGAAGGCATCACAAGGATAGCTGAGGTTCTGCAGACCGATGCTACGAAAGAGAAAGATCCCCAGTCAGAAGACCCTAACGCAGAACAGTTGTTGACCCGTCTTGAGCGTTATGGGCTGCTGTCTCCACACGGCGGGACAGAAGTTCATCCAGAAGAACGACTGGACGCCGGCCAGAATCGCCATAATACTCCGGTCGTATACACTTCTGGTGCATTTTGGGCGATCATCCAATACGCTTTTTTGGCGTTTACTGCGGTGCGAGCGGTGATTTTGAGTCTTGCGACATTATCTTCTCTTCCGTCAAGAATTGCCACAAGCGAACAGTCATCTGTTGAGGCGGGTAGCCAATCGCAAACACCTCAAGCGGAAAACATTGCTTCCAGGCGCCCGTTGGAGGCCAAACGGCCTGTAGTCAGCATGGGCTTGTGGAGCTGTGTAGCGCAACTTGTCGAGTTAGATGTCCGCATGCCTTGGCTGTTGGGCTTCGTCTCCATGCTCCATCATGGAGCGTTGGCCGGCCCAGGCAGGGTGGGTGAAACCGATGGTGTATTGGACAGGTAAGTTACGATAATATCTCTTTCTTCACTTGCTTCCCATGGTTGGCTGGCTACTCAGTGTCTGTGGGACCGTGCAACACAGCATGAGATAGCTCCGCATACGATTTCAGTCACTTGACTTCGCTTCAGCGAATGCGACGGCCCGCAGGCTCACACACAGGAAAATCCCTGTCGTGGCGCACCGCCTTATGCAAGCCTCGGCACCCGTTCCGGGCGGCAACTCGACACGTTTCGGACAAGGGGGCTTGGCGCCATTTGTGTCTTCGATTTTGTCAACACCACAAATGATCGCACGATGCTTGCATCTTAGTAGGACCAATCCTAAAGCTCAGCTTCCACCGGCAGCTACAGGGCACTATAGCGTACGAAGGGTGTTCCGTACTCCGAACCGCCTTATCACGACCCTAGCTTATGTGGAAGGGCCGCTTACGCGCCGGTTGATCTGTCCACACCGTCCATCCGTCCCTCTCGGGACTGGCCGTACTGAGCTCAAGACACGAGATTGGCCACAGATCTCAATCCTACCGTCATTGCCGCCACCAGCTGATTGCGCCTCATCTTTCAGTCTCTAACATCTTAGCGGCCTGCGACGTCGCTGCCGTCATACTCTGGTCTCGTTAGAAATCCTAGCGAGCACGCACTCCTCGGACTTAACATGGCCTAGTTTGTTTGAGCACCGCATCGAAACATTTGACGGATGATGCTGTTCCCAAACGTTCGGGAATGGCTTGTTGACCTAGTCACCACGACGTCCTGCCTTAAGTTGTGTTGTGGCATGATCATCAATCTCGCTTGACATGCGCGCGCGCCTCACTTTGTGGGCCGCATCAGCATTCGACTCGATTCTCGTCCGATACGATGATTCTGCCGTCATGGACATCGTCATTCGCGGTGGCCAGCTGACTGTTCCGCGGATTCATATGCATGCGTTCGGTTTACTTCGCACCGGTCCATTTCGTTCTTGCAAGTCTCGTTTGCTAACCAGTCGTAATTGCAGGTTCCTCGCTCATACTTTCCACACACGGATCTTGAACCCCGCTTTCATTCCAGTGGCGCTTCGCACTCTTCGTGCAACACTCTTCCCTAACAATGCGCTCGGGCCCCCACGTCAGATCCCAACTGATGAGGAGATCGAGGCGATCAAGCACTGTTGTGCCGCTACGCTGCTAGACTTAGTACCACCTAAAGTAGCAACCGCTTTCTTCGCGAGTGACGGACGCGATACTCAGGTTCGACAGATCGAAGATATACTAGGCTGTCTTGATGACGCCTATCTCAACAAACATCTCGTCTTTCAGATTGTGGAACTGATCGGACTACGCCTGTTTCCGGAGCTTGGAGAACAAGGCGTCAAAGACTTACTGGACGAACGTATCAGCTGATAACCTGGGCCTGTCAGCAAAGCGTTTCTACGTCGTGTATCGGGGATCAAAGCACAAGACATCAGGAACTTTCACCGCCAGATGCGCGAACTGCTGGGCACGGCCCGTTGCGCAGTCAATATCGTCGTTCACACCAAGTTCAAATGAGGGCAAATCTCCAGCCCTTGCATCGCATACCTACTTCCATGAAATCGTTATAGAGTAGTTCACTAAAGCAGCGAAACTGCAGTTACATGATGCAGTTCCACGTATACCAACTCATCGTGGGCTCGTAGCAGAACGTGGTGGAAAAGGTACACCGCTGATCTCGAAAAGAGGGGTACTAGCCAATCAGAAAATTCCCTAAGGAAATTGTTGAGGTACATGGCATCCAGACTCCGGGCTGGCTGCATGCTGTGACGAGCACCTGACTAATTGGGATATTGCCGGACGGAAACTACAGAGAAAGTGCCACGAGGTGCCCCGCAGTGCACGTCTTCCTTCAAGCCATTGCTTAGTCCAGCTGGCCCCATCACGAACGCTGCAGGGCTCAATCTTGAAAGTGTTGTACGCGGCAGGAAAAATACAACTCAAGTTCACCATGTGCGGATGGGAGGCTTGGACAATCTGCATGTCGCTCGGTGAGCGCGACGGTCCGTGTGGTGTATACATATGCGCGGGGATAAATCGCATACAACCGGGAGGCTTTGGAGAAGGATATTGGTTGACAGGCGACATGCGAGGCCAGAGCGTCGTGTGGCAGAGGATTATGATTAGTGAAGTACGGAATGACTAGGTGCGCAGCTCCGTTGCAATCTTGACCAAGGTTTACACTGCGATACCTACCGCGCGGTCCTTACGAGCATCGCAGAATTAGACGACGTTGGGTCGTCCTTGCACTTGGTTCATCTAAAGTAGCGTCCCGAGCTCCAATACACCTTCACGTATCAAAATGAACCTGTCTAAGCCCCGCTTCCTCCTGCATTCAAGCCCCCACCTAGCGAGATATGACAAGAAACTTGGTTCGGGAGCGATCATGACTGCGGATCATGTTTACCGCCGTGCTCGCTGTCGGCAGCCCCGTGCGAACCCATGTTTCGAGGTCAAATATAACTCAGCCTCACTTAGGCGATGTATCAACCGTGGGGTTTCAGTAAGTGAACATCGCAGAAGCGAGGGTGGGCTGAGAAGTTTAAAGTGTCAAAAGGTTACCCCGCATGCGCCCCCAGCCCGTAGCCGTCTATCTGTTATCGCTTCCGCAAGGGTTGCGGTTCCTAACAAGTTGGCAACACGTTCCTGAACAGCCTGCCGCTAAGGTGTTTCAAGATTCGGTTGGGCAGCAATTGCGCGGAACATAACGACGATCGAGTCAGCCTTCTCTGCTTCCTTTGCGGCACAGTTGTTCTGCGTCTTGAGGATTTTATTCTTTCTGATCCTATAGAATAACGCGCGCTTTGTGGGCGCGTGCGTAGGATTCAGGTCGCCGCTTATTGCCTGCTTCGAGACATCACTGTCGCTGATGCTGGGTTCTCGACTGACTCGCTACCCTGGATGACCGTTGAAACTTTAATCCTCTGAACTCTAGAAGCAAGGCGAGGAACCCCTACACGGACCTAGTTCACGATGCCGCGGGATGCGCAACGCAAAAAAATCATGACCCTAGCAGCGCTCGCTACTCAGCATTTGACAAGATGCGACATCGCCTGTTCCTGAACCGCACGGGGTCCGGGGCAAGTGCGTCAGGATCCCTAGCGACAATGCCATCAACCCCAGCCACGTCGATCCAGCATCTACCATGGTTTGGTATCAAGCGAGGATACATCAGGGGTTGCAATGGGCATCAATATTGCGAATATCGACCCATGTTTCAACGGTTAAAAGAGCTCGGAAGGTTAGTGCAGGGACGGCAGCGGGTGGGACTGACTCAAACATGCAAAACATCACCCGTAGTGGGCAATCATTACATGGTACCGAACTATCGTCATCCTGCGTAAGGCATGAAGACTCAATAGTGAGGCGTATGGCATATTCGCTTCAGCTGGTCTGGATGAAGCGGCAGGCGCATCGGTAGTTTGAGCCGTTCCCAACGCTCAGCCTAAGTGAAGCGCAGTATGAGGAATGGATGAGAGGTTCGCTTGCTACTGAGCGCATGAAGATGTTGTCAGAATGATAGCAACTGAAGATCGCAACACATCATAATTGATGCCAATACTACATGACTCCGAAGCCACGGCCTGTTCGGCAACGGAGATGCCTGCAACACCAATTTATGCATCGGCCCGTGTTGGGAACTGAAGAACACTTCTGGAGCGACGGATGAGTGCATCTGACAGGAAGTGCAAGATTAGCGGGTACGTCAACGGCGGGCGGATGCGTTGTACTGTTGCCTGTTCATAGCGATACAAATGGCTATCTCATGCAAGTTGACCACCCAAGCAATGTTACTCAATCCTGTCATGCAGTGTCGTTAGACATTGATACAATTGTCACAAGCCACCTTGTCGCACGTGACACTAGCCCTCAACATCGAATAGATAGCCCGACCAGCTGCGCGCAGTATTATGAGCAAATTAGAAACAAGTTCGCATGTTGGTACAACGTTGTCGCGAACACCTTACACCAGATAATTTGGTGATCACCTGTGCACCACGTCCCTCTCTTGCCTAGCCGGTCCGTACCGCGTTACACAGCATCAGATATCAATCACGTGGACCACCTAATGCAGGGCACCGCATGACCAGACAACCAACATGGCAATGACATTTCCATGCTTGTCGCCAGCACATTGTGCATACACAATAATTAGCGGAAGAGAAAAGGGTCAGCCCCATACATCATTGGGCAGAAGATTCGAATTGAGGAAAGAAATAAAGTCAAGAGCTAGCAGTTTAACGTGACAATTGACTTTCGGGTGTAGGTTTCCTAGCTTCTTGCACTACAACCTGCCACCACTGCTTGACGTAGGCCCGAATACGAAGTTACTACGAGCCTCTCGGCCTTTCTAAATTTGACCTACGACTGGACCGGCGCCCGGATCCGGGGGGCCGATGATAGGTAACGCAGTGCTTCACCGATCGTAGGGAGGCTTTCGCAATCGCGTTGCGGGATACGATGCTGATGACGGTCTAGCCGTTGCGCGCAACACCGCAACTAACGACTTGGGGAGAGCTTAGAAGAAAAGGGCCGAACATAGTGAGATTGCGACAACCAAGTACAGATCTACCATTGCGCGTCCTTCATTCTACTCTTACTTTGCTTGTTTATACTCTGACATGTACGTAACACGCGTCGGACTCTGCTCCTTTTCTTTTGCTGTCTGGATCAACTGCACAATGCGCAAGGCTGCTACTGCAACTGCGACCTTCGCAGGAAGTACATCCGGCATTTGAACAACGTGTAAGCCAGTGAACGAGCACGGTTGCGGTCCGAACCGGGACCGTACCGAACAGTAATGTAACGCAGAAAACAAAAAAGAAAGCAGGACACGAGGAGTTTGACATCACACGGGAGAGAAAAAGTACCAATATAGTAGTACCTGCAAGGATGCCCGAAGATTTGGGGGTGGGGAAACCGACGACATTGTCTTCTTGCTTCTTTTTGCGGCTAGTGGAACTGGAACTAAAGTGGCGTTGCACGCCAACTG